AAACTAACATTATTTTCCTCAGCCAGCTTTCTTGCGAGAGGACTAGCAAAAATACGATCTCCTGAAGAAACCGAGCTTGGCTTAGAACTCTTGGGTTCAGGAGCACTGGCAGGCTTCTCTACTTTCTCTTCTTTTGGTGGGGAAGGAGCTGGTTTTGCTTCAGGAGCAGCAGGACCAGTATTAGATGAAGGGGTGTAATCTTTAAACTTCTGAATATCCTCTTCATCTTCAACTGTGATAGCAATCACCTAGTTGGACAAAGAAAACAAGATGATACATAAATGACTAAGATGAAGATTTTTGTATGCTTTATGCATAATTCAATACTTGATGAGAACCACTGAAAGTACACAAGTCTTCGATATCCAGAAACTGTCATACCTCCCCAACTTGAATTTCTTTTGCTCCCTCCTCCTTTACTATCTTGGCGAGATAACCCTCTTCCATGCATTCCATTTCGACGGTTGCTTTGTCCTAAGATATATAGCCTGAGATTAGAATTACAGTCTAAGCATGCAATTTTAAAACGAAGAGATTCAATCTAGATTAACATTACAGTTTCAACTTCACAAAGCACTTCACCAGGAGCAACTTTATCACCTTCTTTCTTCAGCCACCTGGCAATGTTACCCTGAAGTTTGGACAGATAGCTTTAGTAGAAAGACAGAGTAACAAACCACGTAATTTTTAGTAAGGAGGTACTCGGAGGTCCATGCCTCAGTCATTGTTGGTGAAAGAGAAGGCATTCCAATCTCTTGATGAGGAGGAAGATCTGAAACATATTTTTTAGAAGTTCTTGGTAAAACAAATCATGTAGGAATGCAAACGACAGTAACAGAAATATGATGGCTGCAAAGGACATTTTCTAGGAATGGTATGAAATGTGATCCAGCAAAAATAAAGTCGTTAAAAATTATCATTCAGGTCAAAGAAGATGTACATAAGAGCAAGCTGGAAGTTAAAAGAATAAAAAATAAACTCAGGATGAAGAATTAAATACCTGAACTGGCTGAAAACCCTCTTCCTGAAAGCATCTGGGAGCTAATACACAAGAAAAGAAGCTCGCAGTAAGGATAGAAGTACATCTATACGGGCAGGGAGTAATAAGAATGCATTACACATCGAAAAATAGATTAAGAGGGTTATGTTACGTACCTTATATATTCTTTAAAAATATTTGGTCCAGTCATTCTGCTCCTTAGTTTTGTGCTCATTGCTGAAATACCACTAGGCATTGATACCTATATAATGCAGCTAATGAAATTAAGACTAAAACACACACAAAAGATTATGCTATTAGACATGATTTAATGACATAGGTGCGAAAGGAGGCTGAACATGGGTCTTACATAGCTGGCACTACATTTCGAAATTCTCTCTACCTGGGAATAGTTCAGGCGGGCCTTGAAGATATCTGAAGACGAAAACAGAAAATGCCACAGCGATAAGCATACAATCTAGCATTCATAAAACGAACCGTTATTATGTTCTTCATGACACAGAGATCATGGGAAATTGATGTGACAATATCGTGAAACTTGGACTATAACTAATAGAAATGAGGAAACAGGTGGATACATTTCCTCATCAGATGAGCAATGAAGAGGACGATCATTTACCTTCTCTTCCAGTGAGAGAGGGCTGGGTACTGTTGGAGAAGCCGCGAACTGCCACAGCTTGCTCACGCCGCAGCAAAGTGGAAACATGTTTCAACTGTCAAATTACACAACCATCAAGTAATGTTACAGATGCATTTGCATGGTAAAAGTAGAGGCTTCCCATGGCTATGGAGGAGAGCACAATTACCAATCATAAACACAATCCTCTCTCAGAAACAACTCAAAAACATACTTAGGAAATGGATCCATCGTACAAGGAGCTCACTAAAGCTCTAAATAGCGAATCCAGAAATGCCCATGATTCAATCAAATGAACAATCAATTGGATTAGGAGAAATTCAAATGAATGGATAAACACAGTTCACAAGATCACGAAACATAGATCAACGACGAACTAAAAAACGATCAAAAACAGTAGTAATCAATAG